TTGGCCTGAAAAGTTATTTTGCAGGAGTTCTGGGGAAGTCAGCTTTTTATACAGATACAGCAAAGTGATCTGGCTGCTCATGAAGAGACACAGCTCGCCAGGCTTTGTTCAGAGGCAATTCCTCTTCATTGATGTCTCTGTTAGGGCTGTGCATCTGAAGAAATGTGTTTTCTATTTGTCCTCGAGAGAAAACAAGTATTCCAGACCAATGTACTTTTGGGTTTTTAACTAGTTTTATAAGCAAAGCGAGGGAAATCTTCACTTCTTGCCAGAATCACAGATAAATTTTTTCCCTTTTATGTCTGTTCGAGGAACACATGCAAGGAAACCAAACCACCAAAATAACTGTTTCCTCCAGATATAAATATTTGTATTTAAAATGGTCACCATAAAAACAAGTTGCTTAATGTGAGGAGAAACTAAGCTGAAAAACCTAGAAGTGAGTCTTGTAATGGCATTGAGGTATTTGACAGTTCAGGGAAGGCACAGCAGAAATACTGCAGTTTTCACTGATGATGAGGAAGGGCTGAAGCAGATGATTCCTACAGAGGGTTCAGGATCCAGTCTTGTTTCTGTTGATGTTTCTAACCTTAAGTGAACAATAAGTGTACTGTGTCCTGCATGCCAAACTGGAGCCTTAATAAAAGAATTTACTCTCAGTAAACAGGGCAGAATTAGGGCTGTATTGGAAATGGAATCAGGATTAGTGGTATTGAAATGTGAGGAATTTAATTCTTCTCCAATCTCTCTGAGGAACATGTTTTCAAATATTAGAATTAGAGCATTAAGGGACTAAGGAAGGACATAAGTGCTGCAAGCCTGAATCATATTGGGGTTGTTCTCTCTCCAGTGGGACAGCTAAGCCCACAAAGTTTTCTAATTTTTGAGCGTAGTGCCTCAAAGTCCTGCTGACAAGTGATTTGCTTGGTTCTGCTGTCAAAAATTTACCTTATTTTCATTACTGACACATATATATTAACTCTGTTGCTTGCTTGGCTTGCTGCTGAAAGCTTTGTGTGCAGACAGAAACCAGCTCTCCACATCCATTTAACCACAGATACTTGGTGCAATTCCCCTGACAGTGGAGCTGCTTCTTCAGTGTTCTCAAAATCATCTGCAGGGACAGAGCTTGTTTCACTGGCAGGAAATATTAGCAAAGACTGGAGGCATTTGCTCTCCTGTGTGTACATCTGTGTGTACGTGCACTGTTGCTTTAACTTCCACTTCCTCTCTGTCCCTATTGCACTGCTTTCCTTTTTGCTGCAATAAGATCTTCATTTTCTCCTTGGGCAGCCACCAGGCATGGACAGCACTGCTCAGCTTCCCTGAGCTGACCTTCCTGTTCCCCCTGGCTGGAGGCAGAAGGTAGGGCTGACTTCTGATGGTAGAAGGGGACATGGAAACGGAACCTTCTCCTTCCCAGTGTTCACACTGTCTGCCTGAGAGCCCTCCAGAGACTCCTCTAATACCATGGAAGGCCAAATTCTTGTATGTGCTTAATACATCCTGCATGGACCTAAAATGGCAATTCTTGTTAGCTGTGGATCTAACCCACGGATGCTTCAGTTCTGACCTAAAAGAACTGTTTGTCCAGGCTATTTTCTGCTCTCTCATTCATTTCCTTTCACTGGCCAAAATTTTTATTGGGCTCTGTTACAGTTCAGTGAAGTTTCAAATAAACTTCATTATATTTTTTGGGTTGTGCTTTCAGAGGAAGTTGAATAATCACTTTGAAAAGCACAGTTTGCAGTTTCACCACCAATGTTCATCTTGATGAGACTTTCACATCTGTATGTCATGCCGAGAGAGATCTATGTGATGAAGGAAGAAAAAGGATAAATGGCAATACTGTGAGAACTCAAGTACTTTACTAAACACTAACTTTTTTCTACCAGAGGTGAGAGGTTTACGCATTGCCTCTTAAGCCTTTGAGACAGGTACAGAACAGGAAACTTTATAGTTAAGATGACTCTGTTCAGCTTTTTGTCCTTATTGCATTTTTTCTAAATACTTATGTACAATTCTGCAGTGAAATATCAGTGACTCATCAGAAAAAAATGCATACTTTTCCATCAGCTGCATATACTTAGAGCACCATCTTCCTCTGTGTCATCTGTCAGCACAGTGTTCATGCCAAAAGAAAAAGAAAAAAGGGAAAATAAGTGGTGTTTCCAGCAAGCCAGAAACCCTAGTAACCAGAGTCGCCTGTCTCATCCTGCCTCTTTAACCACAAAATGTGACTTTTGGAGAATATGACCCCTGACACAGTGAGGAGAAATGCTTCACTGCTGAGAAAATGTCTCTGCTGAGATGCCACTCCACAGCTTTTCACTGTGGACAAGATGGGAGTGTTTTGGAAGGTTGTGAAGAGGAGAAGAGTTTATGGCCCGAAAAAACAGGCTGAGTCTTGGCTTTGTGGTGTTGGAGGAGGAAGTTCTACGGGTGGAGGAGGTGTCCTGCCTGTCCTCTTCAGCAGAGAGGCAAGGGAAGGCCAGGCCTGCTGTGTGTTTGTCTGAGTGTGCAGCACCTACTTCCTCTCCACACTAAAAATAATTTTGTCCCCTTCTCTTTCCTTGCTGTGGGTCCTGCTGATCATCTCTTGTGCTTTGTCCTTGCTGTCATCAGCACTGGCAGATGTTGCTTTTCTTCTCTGGCTGCTCCAGATATCACTCTGCTCTCAGCTTTTCCTCCTCTTGCTGGCTGGGTGGAATAATAAGGGAACGTTTCCCTGGCACTGCCCCACTCCCCAAGAAGCTGTTAATGATTATTTGGAGAGAAAAGGATAATACTTTTCTGTTATAAAAATATCTCAGGCAGGTTTAGAAGTCAGGTAAAGTAAGTGTTTAGCCTTGATTTTAATTTTTATTTCAATGGGCTTCAGATTCTGAGGTGTGTATATCAAGCTGGTTGAGCCTCACTGTAGCATCTTTCGTTGTGCTGTATGATTGTTCCTGACCCTTCCCTTTCCCCATGGAACTTTGGGTCTGTTTGCCCTTTTGGGGCTGCTGAGGGTGATGCTGAGCTGGCTGAGGTGCTGCCAGGGACTCGTTGAAGGGGTTTGCTCATTAATTACTGAGGGCTCGAGCCTGGAAAGGTGCAGGATGTCCTGAGCTCCTCCTGAGCAAATGGGAGTTCATGGCACTCAGTTTGTTGGAAAATTAGACCTTCTGAAAGTCAGGCCACATAAAATGTTTGTGTTTTTACCTCACAAGGTCACAAAGCTCTTCAGAAAAGGGCATGGAGTGTACTATAAATGAAGTATTCTGAGGGGAAAACAAAAATTTCCTGACTTATTCTTGGCACCACATATTTAGTCATGGCGTTCGGTCTGAGCAAATGTACAAACTCTCAACATTGCAGATGTATTTTACCCACAAACCGACAACAGACTGATGATGTGCACACAAAGGTTATTTATTTTAAGCACAGCCAGGGAATGTGAGTCTTCCAAATGCTTCCTTCAGTCTCCCTCTGGGATCTCTTTAATAAGTTGCATAATATTTTTCTATATGAGAGGATGGCAAGATGGACATGGTAGGTCTCTTCTTTACTTAAATGCACTAGTTATGTTTTCTCTTTGCTTCTTTGAAGGAAATGCAAGTGGAGAATGAACAGTTTGTGAACAGTGTTAAATTAAAAAGCAAAACTTCAAAGGCCTTTCTAACAATTTATTCTAAACCCATCAGCCAACAGATGACGTTCCAAGTAAAATAACTAATTATGTGGGAAGTTAGGCAAGCATTGATTTAGTTTTTGGTTTCTTGGACTGGTAGATAATTCTTTAATAGCAAGAAAAAGAATACATGACTTAAATTTCTGGACTGGAGTCCAGGTAAACTCTCTTCTGAGGACAAGTTTATGCATAACCTGTAATGATTTTCTTGGAAAATGTGAAAGCCACTCAGATATTTTCTGTGGACCTTGGCTGACTCTAAGATGCTCCCCATTAGAGGCTGAGAGCAGGGTTAAGGAAGGATAAGGGAGTGCCCCAGTGAAAGTATTTCACTTCTTTGAAACCTGTGTTAATTTAGAGTAGCATTGCTCTTGCAGAATGTTAAGGGTATTTGTCTGCAGTATCAGGCATAGTTCAACAGTGATCATGTTCCGAGGAAAACCAGTGAGTTTAGTGGGCCAAACATCATTACTTTATATCATCAGCACATGACAAGGTAAGACTCCAAACACACAACTTCAGCATTTAACATGTGGAGACGTGGAGATAAAATTCCTTGCTATGCACTAGAGCACCAAACCCTTTCTCATTTTGGCAAGAGAGTTAGAAAAATAGAGGCTCTTTGCAGTCACTTGTTTTCTGTTCCCTCAGTTCTGGTGTGACTTGTGATGATGTGTCTGCTGAGACTGCTTTGTGCATTTGCTTGTGGCAAGTGGTTGTTCCAGTTCTAAATTGCTCTGTGTGAGCTGCACTCTTGACCCTAACTTGTGCAACGGGGTAAAAAAATCTATCACAGTGTTGACTTCTGGCTGCAGGTTTGCATGAATTCTTGAGACCAAAACCTTTCCAGAGATGTACTTGCTGTGGCAGAAACTCTGCTTAGGAAAAGCATATGGACAATTAGGTTTTCCTCATCAGTTATCTAGGACTGAAGAAAAACAATGAAGGAAATCCTCAGGCTCTCAGTGAAGCTGGTTGTTCTTGAAGCAGCAGGCTGGAGATTGCAGGGGTTTTATAACAGTCTTTGTGAGTTTGAGTCGTGACAGCACAAGTGTGTGGTGTTTGTTTGCAGCACTTCAGTGTTTGTAGTACTTCAGTTAGTGCTACTAACGTTTTGTACCTGGTTGTCCAGTCCCCATATGCTGGTATTTTTACATTCATATTGGATATGCAGTTTGTGGGTTTTTGCTGCGCAGAACCTGCTTTAATGTGAGTTGTGTTTGTCTTTTCTAGGAGTAACATGCTTGGAAGTACTTGGTGTTGCTGATCACCTGTACCTTGGCACAAGAGCTCCAGCTTAATCCTCTTCAAACTCTGGTCTCAGAACATGGGGGAAAACGAGGATGAAAAATACAGTCAAGCTGGCCACATATTTGAAAACTTCGTACAGGCATCGACATGCAAAGGCACCATTCAGGCCTTCAATATTCTCACTCACCAACTTGAATTGGATCCTTTGGACAACAGGAACTTTTACACCAAACTGAAATCAAGAGTGACCACATGGAAGGCCAAAGCTTTGTGGAACAAGCTCGATAAAAGAGCAAGTCACAAAGAGTATAAACGTGGAAAATCTTGTATGAACACTAAGGTAAGTGGAGTTCAGGTTTGGATTTTGTAGCTTTTTATTCATTTTTCATAAGTTCTCAATGATTAATGTTTTCTAAGGTAATAAGGGTCCTTAAC